TTTTGTATTTATTGATTGAAATGTATTCTCTCTTTTGAAGTGGAGGAAAATCGTCAAGCCAAGAATACGCTAGCCACAATTCAAGATCTAGTGTCAAAAGAAGGACCGTGAGTACCAGATTATCTCAATAATTAATTAATGAAAAGAACAATTCTCTTAATTCTTCAATTATTGCAGGGGGACATTGTACAGAGGAATTGTGCCAGTTCTCCAGAGTCTGTGTGCCAGTAATTTTGTGTATTTCTATACATTCCATGGGTTGAAACGCATGAGAAATTCGCGGAATCAGACAGCGGGCCATGATTTGCTCCTTGCATCCATTGCAGGTTTGTAATTCCATTCATTTTTCGCATAAATCATGTACTGGAATTTTCCCTTTGCATGATAGCAGAGAGAGAATAATGGAAAATTTGAAATCATGAGATCTCTCAGTGAGAAATTCTGTGACTCATGCTGTATATTTATTTTCTGTTACAGGAGTCACGAATGTTTTGACAACAACACCTCTTTGGGTTGTAAACACACGTCTAAAGACACGAGGAATTGGAGGTGTTCATGAACCAAATAACAATGACTACGTCACCCTCTTAGGTAAATAGAAAATCCTCTCTGTAACTCGATTAAGAAAAAAAATTTCTAGAATCCAATCCACTGGATTAAAACGAGATCTGGAGTCCAGATGACAGCTTTGGCTTCTCCAAGGTGATAATTAAGTTATGCAGAATATGTAATAGTACTTGGAGCACTTCGCAATGATAATGTAAACATAGACAACTCTCCTCGCTGCTGCAAATGCTAATTATGAGAGAATTATGACGTAAGAATATTTTGCAATGTTATTTGATTTTATTTTTCAGAGGGCATTGCACACATCTGGAAGTACGAGGGCATTAGGAAACTTTGGGCTGGCACTTTACCAAGTTTGATACTTGTGTCAAATCCAGCTATTCAATTTATGATTTATGAAAGTATTAAGAGGAGAGTTAATGCGTCATTGGGTACACCAGCCTGGGTTTTCTTTACTATTGGGGCAATAGCCAAGACTGTCGCTACAACTCTGACGTATCCTCTGCAATTGGTACAGACTAAACTCCGGGTAAATATTGATTGTAGAATTTCTTGAGCAATTGTTTTTACGGTATTGTCTCGTTATTCGTGATGGCTATTTGTATTTTCAGCATGGGCATAACTACAAGAATCTTCCATCAAATGCGGGGACAATACAAATTCTTCTTTACATTCTCAAGTGAGTGCATAATTTATTTTACGCAAACCTTGAAGCATTCTGAAAAAAAATCTCGAGTGCTTCGTAAATAGAATAATATTTTTTTGTTTTTTATTTTGCATGTAGAGAGTATTTTGAATATTTATTATTATTATGTATTATTAGTTATTTATTACGAAAGAAAATACCGAACTGTGGAATTGTCGATGATGATTTCACAGAAAGACTATTTGTTTGATGGAATTTCTCTTTCTTGATAGGATGCAAGGATTGGGGGGACTGTACAAAGGAATGGAAGCCAAATTACTACAGACTGTTCTGACAGCAGCTCTGATGTTCCTAGCGTACGAGAAAATATCAAAATTTGTCTTTCGCATTCTCCTCCTGCACAGACCAATGCTTAGATAATTTCGATTGATTTAAGGTCGAGTGACGAATGTTAAAGACAAATTATTTCAACAAGAGTGTTTTCTGTTGTAATTTTGTATTCTTTTTTGTACATTAATACAACTGTCATTTAATAAACTATAAAAATAAGATGAGAAGGGATAGAAGTTATTCAAGTTGATGCAAAGTATGAAATATAAAAATTATTGTCGTAGTATTTATAAAAAGAAATTCATTCAAAACAGTTTTTCTTCGTTTTCTAGATTAATTCGGAATTTTTACTCGTTGCTGCACACTAAACCCTGGAAATTAAAATTCATTAATTGAATATTAGAAAGGATTAGTGGAGAGTGTGGAAATAGTCACCTGTTTCCGTAGGTGCGTTAACTTTACTGTTATGTATTCATGAAGATTTTTTATGTCGTCTACTGTATCTCTGATTATGGTATCCAGAATACTCTCGTCTCTTAGAATTCCTTTATCCACGATTACAGACATGTGGGCTCTGCCACCATAAGTCAGAAAAGAAACGCCAATACCGGTTGTTCCCCTATTTAAAATAATAATTAACAATTTAATATCAATGATTGATTTTTGGGTTGATTTTTCCTTTTGATGAGTTTTACAGGAATATCTCTGAAAATAGAGGAGATAGCAGAAATGATCTGGGAACCTTTTTTGTAGAGGTCATTGAGATCTACGAAAAAGGTTCTGATAATCATTGAGCTATCTCTTGCAGATTCCCAGATTTTCGTTGAAAACTGGTCAATAGTAGAAATTAAGTGAAATTGATTTGAATATCTTTTCCATTTTTATCAAAATTACTGTTAATTTCTCAAAAATCTCAAATTTTTTTATAATTATCTTATCTGACTACCTGTGAGGGATCCAGAACGCGACTTTCTCTAAACTATTCCCCAGAATATCCACTTTATTGGGTCCTGGTAGATTACTGAAGACCATAGTACTGTGACTCTTCAAGAATGGCTCGAGTAATTTCTTCGGTAAAGCCGCAGCCAACCAATCCATTACCCAATAATTAATTATGTAATCCGGGCTCTGTCTTAAATTTTCTGAGCACCTGGACACATCTCTGAGTCTCTCCAGGAGTCTGTGGTATTTTAATTCGGTATTTTCCTCGGTGATTGGAGTCAATTCCTTTCCATTTGCCTGGGAAATGCATAGAGGTAGTAAACCCACCGAAAATCCATTCCTAAGACTCAATTGTTTACTTGGAGCTGACATTCTAGCTGGAATGACAACTGTCACTGTTTTTGGAGCGGTTTCCTTGACCTAAATTAAACATTCAATTTTCTTCATTACTAAATTCATCTGTCCTTTATAATTTATTTTATATTTATATTATATTACTAGATTTTCTCCAATTAAAAATCAATTCCTCCCTCAAAAAAGTCATTCCCCGATTATTTTTTAATTTCCAATCCCGTCGAACTCTAATTTAATTTTTTTTTAATCTGGGAATAGAATCTATTCGATAATGATTAGATAATCGAATAAATTCGATTGTTTAAATCAATAATTAAACGTTGATATCTTACTGTTTCAAAATATCGATGAAGATTAGCAGATAGAGCAGCAAGAACAACATCTCCAAATCTTGTCCCAGTGGAGTTCTTGATATCTCGGATTTTCTCGAGAATTCCAGAATCTCTGTCATTAATAAAATCCCCCTCCATCCAGCAGGAAATTATCTTCTCGCCAGTCAAAGGTGTGCCATGAAGAGCACTAGAGCGATAATGATAATTACCTAGAGCACTTTAAATAAATGAAAATCAATAAAAATCAATAAAAATCACCTGTTATCCAGGCAATGAAGGGCCTGCCCAACCAGACAAGAGGGAATGGATATCAAGACAATCATATTCCTCCCAAAACGTCTGATCACCCCCAGCCCTTCCTGACAACCCCTCAAACAGCTGTCTCTAATTCCCATAAATACTCTCATCACTTTCTCCAGAACTAGAAGAACTGAACTTCTGAATTTCACGATAACTGGAGGAAGTGTCCTAACAGCAAACGGCATGGAGGCATCCAAGAGATGATCAGAGAACTGAATAATCTGCTCCAGAGGTGAATCAACTCCAGTGATTTGTTTGTGAGAAATATCTACATCTTCAGCTCCACGATTTCCCCGCATCTGAGGATCTGTATCGATAATTTTAATTTGAGAAAGAGTATTGAGATGAGAATCGGCAATTGCTTCTAGAAGAACCCTGAGGAGAGCCACCCCATCTCCAACAGAATGATGAATCCTGAAGACCAGGGGAACATTTAGAGTGTTCTGAGGTACATGAAGAGCTCTTTGGCAGTTTCTACCAACTAGAATCTCCCAATTGGTCCTGTGATGTCCAGGAAGTGGCTGATTGCAGATTCGGTTCATAATTTTCCTGAGGTATCCGTTGTAGACGTTCCCGCAGGTGCCATCGCAGTTTGGATGATCATCCCCGAGCCATCGGACTCTGTCTTCCAAATTGATGGTGTCATTGGTGCGTCTCCAGTAGAAGTAGCCGTATCTCTGGTGCCTCTGCCAGCACAGCTTGTCAAAGTTCTTCGCGATGAGGCGATCCTGGACTAGTTTTCTCACGTCTTCGAGGATCCTGCTGGCATCTGTCGTCATCTTCATCTCCAAGATTCCAAGGACGTTGATGATGGAGTACGCGTGATCGTCTTCAATCGCCCACACGTTGTCGCTACCTTCGAGGAGACCACCGAAATCATTTCCCTCTGATCGACGCAGGACTTCCCTGACGATTCCGCGGTACACGAAGCAGAGGCTCAGGAATAGCGTCACGAACGGCGCGAACACGCTGAAGATGATGATGTTGAAGATCCAGGTCAGTGCTGTTTTCAATTTTAACTCCAGCAGTCTAGAGTCCTGGGAAAATTCGCGGGGTAATATTTCGTTTTTTTTATTCAATAAAAATTAATTTCTTGAATTTTTAGAAAAACGAAATTTAGATAAAAATCTTTAATAGAGAATATGATTTGGAATAATAAATACCTTGATAGGACCGATTCGAAAATCAGCTAGCCATGCAATAAGTAATCCAGTGAATATTCCTAGTCTCGCTGGATTATCAAAAATATTTCCCTCCTCCGATTGTCCGGTTTTAGTTGCATTTTGAGAAAACGCGAGGTCGTAAGTCAGAGATGCGTTTTTAAATGTTTTCCATACAAAATCCCAGACTTCGTTTATCTCTGCGAGAGACGCGTTTCCCGAATTAGCATCCATCTGAATTTATATTAATTATATCAATAACTCCGGGTGATCCCACGAGTGATCGCAATAATTAAGAGAATTTTATTTATTTATTACTTTGGATAAACGTACGAATGTTGAGCAGAACACTGACAGAAAGTCTTCCTTCAAACCTTCTTTGTTTATATAACTTGTGAAGCTCCTCATTCCTTTATTGGCCTACGGCTAATGGAATTAGTATTACGTATAAACAAAATATTTAAATATCATAATTTAATTAAGGAGATGATCTCTCGAGTATGCAAATAATTTTCAAGAATTATTGCAGATTAGATTTGAAATTCTCGATTATTCTTCACTAACTACAATTAAAAATTGATAAAAATTCAATCAATTCCCAATTGATTTATTCATTTGTTAATTAATCTATAAATTTCATCATTCATTAATTATTTCTCTGGGGAATAATTGAGATAATATTCACATTTATCCAAAGAATTTTGATAATTTGATACGAATTCAAGGAATAATTAATAATAATAAATAATTTATTTATTATTTAATTAATAATTGTAATTCAGGTAGTATTCAGATTTTTCAATCGAGAAATTTACACGATTTGATAATAAATTCTCAGGTAATTACAATTATTCACGGGAATTTTTCTTTCAGTGAAATCTCTGACTTAAGTTATGATTTATTTTGCGTGGGCAACAGTTGGCATTTGTAATGGGAATAGATAATAGACAATAGGAGATATCGCTGTCAAGGCTAGCTGTCATTTTAATTGATTTATCACTCGTGAATTGCGGTATAATATGAATCACAAGGTGGAGACGCTGTAGAAGAGCAGATGTTATCATACCTCAATCATTTATTCGTGTTACATAATTAATTTATTAACGAGTCCGCGGGTATTCCTGGGGTTTCGGCTTTTCCAGAGATTTTTCGATCAATTCTTCATTGGATCTCAATAAATTCCCCTCCAGCATACGAATCTGTTATTAAATCAATTTAACGAAACAATTATTCCATATTTTTTATTATCATTCTGTAAAGATATTGGGGATTTACTGATTAAGAGTAATGAGGGGAATTTAATTGTCGAGATGATTTTTTCACCTGAAAATTCTGCTCTTTCAATTCAATATTTTTCGCGTGAATTTCTTTTCTCATGCGATTATTTAATAACAATAGGGCGTCATATCTGTGGATAATTGAGAAGATAATTACGTTATTAACAATTATGATATTCTCATGATTGCAGAGAAATAAATGGAGCAATTTAACTAATTATTGCACTAAATTTATGACGTAAAAATGATTTACGTCATAATTTTTTTTTCTATTTATTTATCTGTAATTTACGAGTGCTATTATCGTACTTCTGATGCCAAGATCGATTAATTTGTTTTGTTAAATAATCAGGGAGTTCATCACTCGTGATATTCTTGCGGAATAAATCTGTGGAAATGGAAATATTTTTTTAATCCGTAATTGTGATTTAATCGATTTCTTACTTAACATTGTATTATTTTTATTTGCAGCATCTTGCAGATTTTTCTGTAATCTCAAGTTCTTGATCTTCATGTTCAAAACTTTGAAGGATTGTTCGACTTGAAGACTCTGCGATATCTTGACCGATGAATCGAGAAGACAGAGTGTGCGTCGTATGTCGTGAATTTTTTTTATCAATTTTTCATCTCTTTTGGAATAATCGTCGGACATTTTTTCACTCATGCATCGAGGTAAATAAACAATAAATATCTGCAACAATTATTGATGGGACATTAGGGCGAAGGAATAAAAATCATCGATGCATGATAGTTTACTAACAATTGTATGTAAATATTGTTTATTGGATTAATGTACGTCTGGATGACGATGTAATTGCATTTTTAATGTGAAATTTATTGAATTAATTTCAATTGTTTAAATGTATTGAATTTGTTGATGCTATTTCTGTAAAAGTTGAGGGGAAATTGAGGAAATGGAAATGGAAATTCGAGTCGTCAAAACCGATGAGTTAAACTAATTAACTAGAGTATATCAATAGTACTCGTTTTACCCTATCGTAATATCCTTATCACTCTGCCCTACTTCTACGAATAAATGACCTCTGTAATACGCAAAGAATTCCTTGCGATTGTAATTAAAATATCAATGCAATCGTCTTTGTGTCATTGCGATTAAAAACATTCAAGAATTGATAAAACGAATTACGACCTAAACAGACGAATAAACATTCAAACAAATGAATAAATAAAAATCAAATTGATAAAGACAAAAAAAAATGTTGTGTAAAAAACCCTCAACTCGAAAAAATACAATTATTACAAAAAAAAAATGCATTGAATTATAATTATGATTGGGATGGCACCTTAAAATTGTGATCATCCCTCAATGAAATAAATTCGATTTCTTAAAGACATCTAGTCCGTGATGCAATCCTCAACCCCTAACCTTTGAAAAATCATCCCTGACCTCTCCCCTCTCCCCTCCCCGGGCCCTTACCACCCCCACTTGCCCTAAAAATGTCGATAATATCCATCCGCCTTATCCTCTCCATTACCCCCTCACCCTCCCCCCCAAAATGTCCATCGAGTCTAGTTATTTTTCATCAAATAAAAATCCAATCACAGCTGTTTTTCATAGGGACTTTGACATCTACAATGCACCAATGAATTGCAACAAAAATGCAAACCTGATTTTACACTTTCCAACTCAACAATAAACTACACAATTCATACCGATAAAATAATTAAACCGGGGGGCTGCCCCCCTTCCTCGCCCCTCCACCCACTCCACCATAATTAACAAATAATTGTCTGTAAATAATTGCATGATAATTAATGAGAAATCCGATAAATTGCAGTTGAAATCATGAAGGGGAGATTTTTATGAGGGGGAGGGGTCCGAGGGGGCTGCAGCACCCTCCACCGCCCCCCACCCGCGGAATTGATTGATTTTTAATGGATGGGTAACAGTTAATAGGGGGCGGGGGGGTTGAAGGTGGTGAGAGGGTGGGGGTTTTCCTCGTAGATATTTTCCAGTAATTCTAATGGAATAATTAATTATGATGGGTTATAATAGGTAATTAATTAATCAAGGGAGGGGATGGGGTAAGACGAGAAAGGGTTGCTCTTAATTAATTAATGGTACTTGTTGCAATTGAATTGATATTGATATTGTTTATTCTGTTTGTTTTATTGACTCCTGTCGGATTTATTTCGTGCAACATGATGTACAGGAAATATTCAATCAATCAGTAAATCAATTAATTAATCCGCTAACAGTTGTTCACGTGGTATGACTGGGGGGTGGTGGAGAGGAGGGTGAGGAATAAAAAAATGTAGAGAATAAAATAATTACAGAAATAACCACCAGAGGGTTTATGACACACTGGGGGAAAATTGGTAAGAATATATCCTAGGAATATATAAATGCAAAGATTGGCAGAATTGTTAAAATACATGATGGCTGAGATGATGGCCGTTGCCACTGTAGAAGTGAAGAAACGCGTATACGGAACCCGTGGTGTGTTATAATAAAAAAAAGAAGGTATTTTAATGTGCTTTACGGTTAATATAACGAATAATTGGTATAACAGGTACTTGTGGATTGTGATTAATTGTAAATAATTGTGTGGTGATGGTGATTTAATGGTTGGTGAAGTGTTGAGGAGTTGAATGGAAAAAGGGGGAAAAAAAAGGCACCAACTTGGGCAACAACACACGGCTGGAAACGCGCGTTTAGCAAAGAGGGTATTGATGTGATATTATTTATGGATTGTTGGTGTCTATTTGTCTGGCCATTGTTTGTTGTGATGGTGAATTTTATTGGGGATGATTTGGGCATGTTTATTTGAGCTTTTTGGGGGATTTGTTTAAACGGAGGGAACATTTACCCTTTTGTTTACGCCTTGTCACTGGCGCTTTTGTTGTTGTATATAGCGCGGGGCTAACTCTTCGGACACCGCGCGCCGTTCATTTTACCGAGGAGATTATTGTTTATTCCAATATTATTTGGATTATTTGGGTGGGAGGGGGAGGGGAATTTTTTTTTTTTGCATTTTTGGGGGGCTTTTTGGGGGCTTCCAGACCTGCCAGTGGGGCTTTTGGTGGGGGATTTTTCGGGCTCGTGCAATATGTCTGGGACTGTACCACGTAGGTCACTATCCTCCTGATTCTTTCACTTTTGTTATAACCTTAAACTTTTGCCATTCCATGAATTTGTTGTTGTTTTGGAATTTGCCATTATTTCATGGTTTTTTCATGGAGTTTTCAGTTTTTGGGGGAGGGAGATGGGGTTAGGAGAGACTGACAGCTACATTTCTTTCATTTTTATCGGATTTTTTTGGGAAATCGAAATTTTTGGGTGGAATTCGAGTTTTATTTGGAGGGAAATTTGGCAGGAGTAGATCTTTTGACGTTTAAATATTTATTTTTAACCGCAAGATGTTCTCCCACAAATGATGAGTGATCGATTGAAATTTGGAATTTGTTTTTGATGATTATCTCTGGAGTTGAAGGACATGCTGAAGTTTTTGTGGGAGACTTTTTGTAGCTCTTGAAATTTCCTATAAAAAAGCTCCCACGAAAATTTCACTGAATCTTTTAGGTTTTGAGGTATTTAGGGAGAAGCATGTGGAGGTTTTCTCATGAATACAAATTTTCATTTTTTCCTGATTTGATCCTATTTTTTTCAGATTTCTAAAAATATTATGACGAGAATTATGTCACCCGGAGATACTAATCACTGGAATTGAGCCAAGGAGTTGAATCAACCCACCTCAGACTAAAACAGATCCCATAAACCTACGGAAAAAGAATAAACAATGCAAGAGGTTGTGATCGAGATCTAAAGGATCGAACAATGTCAGCAAATTATTTTTCAGTTTTAGACTTAGGATAGGCTTGGAGCCATCGAATTTAACTGGAAATTTCATCAACTGAAGCATAATTATTCTGTGATGATAAAGTAAAATATGTAAAGGAAGAAGAAATCGAAGAAGCCAATGATCACAACTGCAACTGCAATCAAACGATTCATTGGTGATAATTTTGTTCTCAATGGATGAACGATTGATCCAGCACAAAGTGGATAAGAAGATGTGCATTATTGATAAATTCATGACTGAATCACCAGGATTATTGTTCCAGTATTGCAAACAATCACTGGGGAACGATAAAATGCTTGTTGAATTAAGTTGTGGGGTGAAAAGGTAAATTACATGAATGTCAGGAACAGGCGACGTGGGTCGCAGACGCGTTGAGTGGCGCCGTAGCGCAAACATCCCATCGTCTATAGTAATTATCTCCTGTTGCACCTGATTTTTAAAGGTAATTATAGTAATGAAGTTCTCCAGAAGAATTCTCGTGATTTGACTCGTTTCAATTTTCAATATTATCGGAATTAATTGTACGATTTCGACGAGTCTGTCATTGTCGGGATATATATATTTCTAGGACCATGTTTGTAAACACGAGTATTTATTTTTCAGATACACAGTGTCATATATCAAAATAGAGTGATGATACGTTGAAAGACAGATCCAAGAATCAACAGATCTCGAAGAAGTGAGACAGTGCAGAAACTGATAATAAATAATAACCAATAAAAACTGCTAAGGTGGCTGGAAAGGTGGCTACCTAGGATTACGAGGTGCTGCGTGGGCATGCAGCAGCCTCAGACACGCCCTCTCCTCGGGGACTCTGTATCCTCCACAACTTCCCCGACTGCAAGACGTAACAACCCTGTTGCTGTTTTAACTCATCAGCAGGTAACAATTGTCAAAGCCCTTCCAATGAATTACAATCAGTTTAAAATGATCTCACAACATTATAAGAGATTATTTTATTTTCCAGCTCCAACAGCTCCAACAACTCCAAGCCCAAAACTCCTCGGGTCAGCCCCTGACATTCGCCCTGCAACAATCCCCAAACAACAATGGTCAGGAGCAAACATCAGTTGGATCAACAACTGGAATTGGAAATAATCACATCGTATACCTGAACCAACTGAGCCAATTGAATCAGAGTACGATAACCCCAACAGGGACTGGTATGGGCCTGCCCCCAGCCACCCCGACATTCGGGGTGGGCCTGAACATGGGATTACCTTTATCCCTTCTCAATACCAGTCTGACATCCCTCACCTCAAACGTCATAACTACCTCCAATCCACTGCTCAACATCGGCATACCCAGTATCAATTCAGCCCTGACAACAGTCAATCCAACAACTCTGAACACCCTGAATACCCTCAATGCGCTCAACTCGAACCTCTCATCCAACAGTATTACAGCAAATGGCCTGACTGGACTGAGCCAGGACATGAATACAGCCCTGAATCGTCTCAACCAATCAACCATCAACAGCAGTCTCACCCAGAATCAATTCTCTACTATTTCCACCAATGACAATCTCTCCAACATCTCCAATATCTCAAACCTCACCAATCTGACTAATTTGAATAATCAAACAACGTCTAATCTACCACCTCAGAGCCATGGTATCACCACGAGTGTCAATCAAGCCTTCAACCGAGCCTCCTTGAATGTTCTGGCCACTGGAATTCCTACGAGCCTCAACTGCAGCACGAGCTTTCCCTTTCAAACAATCCAGAGTATCCAGAGCATAGCTCCCCACATTGTCAACACCAGTATCTCCCAGAATCAAAATCCAACTCCAATCCTGTCAACGTCCTCCCAGATAAACAATCAGCCACAAATGTCGAATCAGTCGACAGCCTCGACGACTCAGAGTTTGAGCTTCTCTGGGACAATGAGCCAGTGCAATTTATCAACATCACCAGCTGTCGTGTCGATATCCTCCATTCAGACGGACTCCATAAGTCCAATCAATACACCAGCTGGATATGGACATGGTCAGAGCTTATCTAGACAGTTCCAGGGACAGAATTCAGTGGGACAGCAGGGAAATACTGTTGTCAAGTGCATACAGAATGTCAACTCCCCTGGGAGTCCCTTCTCCATTCCCATGAAGAGTCCAGCATCGAATATAGCACCACCAACACCGAGTCCAAGCCCCAACAGAATATTACTCCGGAGTCCAGCCTCGAACTCGATGCAATCGAGCAGAAATAGCCCGAGTCCTGTGTCAATGGTAAATACGTCGAGCAGTGGTACTGGCACAACGACAACCGTCCAGCAGAATTTCACCGTTCAACTCCAGAGTCCCATGCAGAGTCCCATGAGTGTTGGGCCCATTCAGAGTCCAGCGCCGAGTCCTTATCCACCAGCTAAGAGTCCTCATCTTCAGGGTGTTGGAGGACAGATAACTGGGGGAATGACTGGCAATTTGAATAACAGGAGTCCAGCACCTGGTGGCAGTCCTGGACCCAGTCCAGTTCGTCCAAATACTCCGATTCTTCAGCAGGGGATGCAGGTATTGCAGATCATTGGTACACCACAGTATCAGCAGACTTCGTCCCAGCTCGTTACGAGGGCTGCGTTGTTTGGTAATCAGCAGATTCAGATTGCACAGACTAAAGCTGCTAAACAACCACCTCAGATACTTCCCAAACCACCCAATAGTCAGGGGGTGGCAACACCACCCAAGCAGAGGGTTGCTACCAGCATTACTAATCAGGTGAGACAAGAAATTCAAATTCTACTAGGATTCATTCGTTTTTTGATATTTTTATACAGACAGTTTTTGAAAATTGTTTTATTGTCATTTTTAGGTGACACAACAGACACAACCGCAATTAGTCCTCGCTGGACCACATCAGAATCAAACAGCAACGATGATACCCACAGCTCAAGGATTATTACTGAATCAGGTAATTTTCATTCAAATAATTCATTGTCATTCTTCTTATTAATTTCGTCTGTTCAATCTCACGCAAAATTGCCTTGTGTCGCTTAACATTTGTCATGCACTCTGCTAATACAAGCTTGAATTCTCTCGGGATTATTTTCCAAGTGATGAATTCGATGGTGAAGGGATTTGGAAGGGATTTGGAAGATGTAGAAAAAATGGGAATGGGAATTTAGAAGAAAAGGGAAAAATCGGTTTTTGGGTGTTTTTGATTGGTCACTTCACCAGTGAATTAGTGTGGGATTTTCTGTGATAACGGTATCTCATTGGGTTTGCTGCATACATAGGTACTACCTTCAACGGGTCCTGTGATTGTTCAACAACAGCCCGGCGGCGTTCAACTAATACTCAGGACACCAACAAATGCCCAACAACAAACGCATACCGCACAGGTGATGGTTTCACTCGTTCATTCATTCATTCTTCTCAAAGTGCACCATTTTTTTTTGTGTATTTAACCATTATCACGAGATACATCCATGCATTAATTTCTATTACACTAAAAAACTGAACATGCTCGTCAATTTTCGATAGAGTCCATTCGTAAAGACCAGAATAATTATGTGGGGTACATTGTCATCACAATCATTCACTCATTAATAACATCCCCTTTCCAAAATCATATTCACTGCATAATTGTTCATAATTTAATGTTATAACTTGAATAACACGAATTTATTTCACTAGAAATTATTCGAAATTTCGATATTCTGAGATCACTATTTTTATTCATGAAAGAATTCTCACATCTTATTCAATTCTCGACAATAGGAATTGGAGAAAAATCGTCAGAAGTCATCAATAGTAATTTCTTCGATAAATCGAATAATTGTGGTTTTTTTTTCCTGTATAAACTCATGTCCCTCCATCGATGTGTAATGGTGCTTATGGCTATCGATTACCTGCGTTTCAAAATATATTCATGTGTTTAAATAATTTATAGCTGACGCAGCAGCAACTCGTGAGGGTGGTAACAGCCCAGGGTATGCAGTTGCAGGGTATCACTCCTACATTTTTCGCTGTTCCAAATGGTTTTCCACCACCGGCTCCACCTGTTATGAGGCATACACCATCGAGTCCGGCACCTGGTAAGACAACGACTACAGATATATTTTTTATTTCTCATTTTATAATTTAAAAATCGAAATTCAAGGACAAAACGAATGGGTAAAATATCACAATTCGAATTTCAGTTCTGTTAAATATCGATATATCTCGAAAAGTATTGATTTTATGAAAAAATATCAGCATTCATTTTTTCTCGGGAATTTAATTAGCTACAAAAAAGGTTCTACATGTTTACTTCTCAAATCGATAGTTTTTCAGATAAATCGAGAATTACTGGGAATGAATTTCCTTTTCAGATTCATTCCGGGGGCAATTTTTAATTCTAATTCAAAACTTCCTCCTCAGGAAATCCACCCACGAACAACCAAATAGTCATTCAGAACGCAATGGTCCAGTCCCCCCAATCTCACCTGAACAATCAACCACCCACTCCATCCCCAAATCACATAACAACGAATCAATCGTCGGTGACTGATCAGAATCTCCTGCCACCGCCGAAGAAAAAAGCAAAAAAGAAGAAGAAAGCCAAGAAAAAGGATGAAGAGCCCCCGAAGCTCGATCTAGCCAGCATAATGAAGATCTCAGGAATAGGTGACGAGGACGACATGTTCGACACAGATGTCATGCCTGATCCTGAGCCCCAGCCCCACCCGCCACCCCTCCAGCACATAGAGCAGCCTCAACTCTCCCAGATGAGTGTTCAACACCTGGAGCACAATCCTCCCCTGTCAACCCCCCAGAATCATCCCCAAAATCTTCCCCAGCCTCAGAACTTGCCTCCAGCCTGTCCCAATCAGGATCAAAACAATCAACTAGTCGCTCATCTCCATATGCCAGTTCAGAATACAATCTCTGGACATTTGAGATTAGCTGTTGGTGAAGATGGTCGAGTTATTCTCCATCACACACCGGATCCCAATCAGCCTGAGATCGATCAGGCAACAGCCCAAGCACTGATAAGATCACTGACTCAAGGTGGTGGACAAAATTCACAAATAATCTCACAACTTCTCGGCCATGCCCAGAATTTACAGCAGAATCAGCAGAATCAACAGCAGACTGTCAATGCACCTCGTGGGAAAACTGGATTAAAGCAACAACAGCAATCATCTGGCAATCAAACATCAACTCAGATAAACTCATCGTCTCCAGGTATTCATAATCCTGGAATGATGCCGGTCTGCTCAAAGCCGACGTTCTCCCAACAGCAGAGTAATTCAAACATTCCTGGAACAAGAACAGTAGGATCTTCTGTGGCATCGAGCCCTGGAGTTTCACCAGCCCCGAAGACTCTCCAGCAGCTTCAAAATCCTGGAATTCAAATATCAATCGGTGCAGACCAGAAATCGAAGAACGACCACATTAAGGCACCCCCGAAGTCCCACACCTGCAAAAAGGTATTCATGCAGAATCAGACAGCCCAAAGACAACCCACAAAAACTCAATCATCAAATGTTAAACAGACTGGTAGTGTAATAAACAACAGAGCCGTCCAACAGCAAATTATCAAGAGTCCACCGGTTCAACAGCAGCCAAGAGCTCAGTTGGATCAGAATAACGAGCAGATAAATCAACAGAACATCCACCAGATATCGACCCAAACGGTGCAGTCATTGAACGTCCAGCGTTGCTTGGAGCAGAGTGTTCACAAGATAACAGTATCAGGTCTCCAGCAAAATTCTCTCAACATTCTGGGTTCTAATCCATCAATTCCCGAGTCCCTTGGACACAATTTGGAGCAGAATCTGATTCATGGATACGTGGAGGGTCCCAGTCCAGGCAATTGTCCCCAGCAAGAGGATATTCAACCCTCAACCCCAACTCTCAATCTTCATCATCCAAAAATATCCCAGAATAAACCCCAAAACGTGATATTCTCGAGTGATTTCCCCACACCAATCAACAACACTGTAATAAATACGAGTGCAGGTCAAACAACGAAGCAACAAATTCAAAATCCAGAAGTGCTCAATTCCGCAGCAACGAATATTCTGAATAATGCCCCAAAAATAACACCTGAGATTCTGAATGCTCTGAGCAATTTAAATCCAAATGATCAGCTGTTGATTGCCAATGCCAATGGACAGATGCAGGTGATAAGTCAGCAGCTCCTTCAACAGCTGTTGACAGGACAGCTGAATGCCCAGCGTAATCTAAATCAGAATCAGAATCAGACCCAGAAAATAGTAATCGGTGAGGCTGACGCCTCGAGCTCTCAGGGGCTTCCTGGTGTCCAAATAAATACCCCCACGAGTCAGATAATCGTCAACAGTTCAGGTGGTGCTCCAACGATACAGAATAATATTCAGAATATCGTTGTCCAGGCGGCGCCGAATCAGATGCCCCATCAGATACAAATCCAGAATCAAGCGTTTCCCAGTCAGTTTATTGATAATTTGAATCAACAGCAGATCAGAAATCTATCGAGTGGTAATAAAACAACAGTGACAACCAGTGGTAGTGCCCCAGTGACTCACTTGTCTCAGTCCAATCAGATAAATCAAACCCACGTGAATCCCATCAACGCATCGACAACAACAACAACAACTAAAAAAGCTAAAGTTGTAAAACGAACAAAGGTGACAGTGTCATTGCCACAGACTAGTTACACCCAGGGTGTGAAAACAGCTCGAACATCAGTATCAACGAGTACACCGACACAACAAGTGATCAAGGACCCACAAAATCCCTCCACAAATACCAAGGTCGAGCCTGGACAACTCGGAATATCCAGTAGAGTCGTTACATCTGGAATTCAAACAGTTGGAATTCAAACGCAGGGTAATCAGACGACTCAGGTGCCCTCCAATGGCCAGATGGTCCAGAGAACACCGAGATACATCCAGCTACCAGTGCAGAAACAGCAGATGCTCAAGAGTATCCAGACACAGATTCAGAGTATCTCCAGTAGAAAGACCAATACTCCAGCTGAGCAGGCACTTCTAGCTAAACTCTATCAGGAGCACAACAAAATTGTTGCCAGTGGTAAAGTCGTGTCAGCCCCATCTCTGACGATTCCCACACCCTCGGAGACAACTACCAATGCCAGTATCTCATCACCGACGGTATTCACAGTGTCTCATCCCCTGAATTCATCGACAGTCACAAAAAATCAAACGTCAACAGCTCAGACACAGACGATGACACCAGCTGTTGTCACAACATCGTGCTCAGTTGTTACCACGAGTGTTGTGACAAGTGCCAGTATGCCAATTGTCTCAGACCCAGTGGTCACCAAGATGGAGCCTGTTAAGGGTGGAATTGATCCCAGTATGCCCTCCATTCACACTTGTCCATTCAGCAAGAGTAAACCGATGGAACTACCCAAATTTCATTCACCAGTCAAGGTTTATCAGTCCACCATCCAGGGAACTCCTCCTGTTTCTTGCTCGCAGCATAATCAGGCGCAGCAGTCAACTCAGTGTCAAACAGATCCATCTGATGTTAAACCGATAATTCAGGGAATGATTAGTCCTATTAAACAGGAATTACCACCACCGATTAGTGTCCAGGTTCAGTCAACTTCACCTGCTGGTCAGGTGATACCATCATCACCGAGAATATCTGGAAAGGGACCCAGAATTCAGAGCCCTGTCAATGTGGGACAGATAAAGCCGGCGCCTGCCAGTCCCAGCACCAGTTCTGCTCCAGTCGTCAGTCAGACACCTAGGCAGGGAGTTAAGAGGCCAGCCACTAGTCCAATATCCAGGCAGATAAATAGGGGAGATCTCATGGAGCAACAACTCAAGATTGATCAGAATGGAGCGGTTAATCCTGATGTTAATACACCATTTGGTGGTAAGAGGGACGCCTGCAAGAGACTGGTTAGGTATCATTGCTTTAATGAGCAGGTGCTAAGTGCCAAGGATCTCGCTAAGGCCGATGAGATCTTCGAGGAGACTGCTAAACATCTACTAAGCAAGTTCAATTCGATGATGAATAAGTATACGTATCTGCTGCTGATGGAGAGTATGGTGAGTTTTTCTTTCCTAATCTTCTCTCGATTTTATTAATATCTCTGAAACTACAGGAGATGAGGAAATTTTTGTTATTACCATTTTTGTAGATCTTGTTGTACTCTACAAAAAAGGTTATGAGGAAAATTCCGTTATTTCCCTTAGATTCGGAGATCCCTTTTAAAGAAAGCATGTAAGTGGATTTTTCACGATTCATAAACGCCAGTATTGCTCAAAAACTTGAGTAGGAAATAAATTGATTGTTAATTATTGGATTTGGTAATGGATGGGGAATTTATTGGGTTTCCAGAGGGAAGTCAGGACGTCTGAGCTCATGATGCTTGACAGGACATTTGTGTCTGAGGAGCAGGGCATGTTGGATAGGTTGAGGGAGCAAGAAGCTAAAGCCAGTGGTAAGTTTATCTTTTTTTATTCGATAAATCAAAAGAAATAACAGATAATTAATATCGATAACTGTGAAACTTTCAGAAGAGTTCAAGAAAGAAGAGAAACCCCTTCTTCCAAAGCTGGAGGCAGACCTCACCGACGAAGAGAAGACCTCGACGAGCTTGGCGAATGTCCTGGTGAAGCAAGAGCTTGAGGATGATTTCTGCAGTATGGATCCTCACTCGAGTGATGCCCAGATGAGATTAAAATCCTCTAGCTGCACCAGTGGTGATTACGACGAGTGGCTGGAGATCCAGAAGGAGCTTGGTGTATATCCAGGTGACACTGGCAAGTGTAAAAATCCAGGCAGTAGTGGAGCTAGTGGTAGTAGTGCTAATGGTGCTTGTTTATCAACGAAATCATTGACAAAATGTGAAAGAACGCGAGCCAATGGTGATTGTCGTTTAAGTGCAAGTGTCAGTCAAAGTACAATGAAAAATCTATTTGATACAAGTGATACTGGTCCAATGGAGTTGGATAAACGTTGGTGCAGTGCTGCATTGAGGGATGATCTCGAGAGAGATCTCATTGAGGATACTGATAGTCTCGATGATTTGGCACTACAGTCACAATTACCAGGTACTTCACTCCAGGATAATGAACAGGGACAAGGATTGATTAATGATCATGATGACATAACAGCACAGGTACAGTCAGCCATTGATAGTATTCTTAATTTGAAAAAGAGACCGTCAAATGCTAGTGCTGTTAGCACACAGGTTAGTGGTACAACTAGTGCAGGAACGACACAAACATCGGGTAATAGTAGTGATTCGAAAGACTCTGTGCTTGATCAGGCTGTTAGAAGTATACTGGGCTCGTGACCCTCATCTAATAAAGTATTTTAAAACCTTAATAACTAAAATCGATAAAGTATAATGTGTAAATCAGTTTTCTCATTTTTGTTTTTATCTGGATTTCTTTCAATCCAAGTTTCTTTAACTCTTTCTATATCTCTTTTTCGTTTTTCTGTGGACTTATCACTGTCCCTTTTTTTTTCAATGCCAATGTCTTTCAGATGAAGTGATGTTGAATGTAATGAGTGCAGTTCGAGGTCTAGGGTGTTTGGGGAAATTATGGGAAAAATTGATTTTCCTTTTTTCATGCTGATTAAATTATTTCATTGTCTCAGTAATGAGTAGCAGGGGAAAGTGTCAAATGACACTTTCTCCGTGGACGACTCGTTATTGGGACAATTTACGGAATTATTATTGTATTTATACAAATTCAACGGTCATCTTTCAATCATGAATGACGGAAGAAAATTATGAAAAAGAGATACTGAGAGAGAAATGGATAATTATGATGATTAAGCCATCGTGTAATTTTATGATTTTAAATGAAAAGAATGTACATGTGGTTTGGTAGATGAATTGACACGGCCAGATATTATAATCTGCAAGTTTGTAATGTAATTTTGTAAAAAGGAAATTATTTAAAAGGAAATGATGAAAAAAAAAACACGTAATGATGATGAAAAAAAAAGAATGATTTATTCCCCGTTTGGCTGTAATTCCAATCAGAGAATTTTACGGGTGGTAATCCAACAATTAAGTGAAACAATTGTAAATATTAATTTTTAAGGTGTATTATTAATTATTACAATTATTATAATTATTATATTAATATTATATCATTATATTTTAATTATTACGACATATAACTGAGATAATATTTCCTTGGATTTATTATGGCAACTAAAAAAATGGAAAACAATAGGATTATTCAATTGTCAATGGGATGCATCGTATTTATGGATCCTTTACTCTGTTCGGGAATTCAATAGTGAAATGGTGGAGAATCAAATTAATTTTTTTTGCGGGAATTTTTTAAATGGGGAGTTACTCTATATTTTTTATTTGTTGTTTCAATTGGTGATTTTTGGTGATTTTTTTTTTCTATTTTATGCGACGAGTTGTTGAAATAGATACGAGAAAAATATATTGAATTTAATAAACGATTCTTCATCATTTCTTGTCTGAATTCCTCGAGGGAGGGGGAGTGAAATTATTTAATTAATCACGAGTGAGATAAAAACGTGACAAAGAAACGAAACAAAGGGGACCCCTCATTGGTAACTGCAAATCTTCGTTAGTTAATTATTTGAAAAAATGGAGAACAGAAACAGAATGTTGAAAGGAAAAGCCACAGTTTTATTTTATATCCATTATCTACTAACAATAATGACATATGTAATTTGTTTAATCAGTGATGAAGGCACAGTCTGAATTTTAAACTGATAATCAAAGAAGGAAAAACAACAATTTTTTTATCTAGATTTAAAAGGAAAAAAAAAACAAAACTCAATGAAACACAAAATCTACTTTTTTTGGGCATCAATTTTAGACGACAATAGATTGTATTTAGATAGTTTTTCGGTGCGTTGAGAGAATTTGCCTGCGGCGAAAGGATTGTGCATAATACTTGAACATAATTTATTGATAAAAATTATTTATTGAAGATATGCTAATGAAGGAATTTATCGAATTAATTAGGTTAATACGAGGCATCACGTACATCCACCAATCATTCAAAATTATCCATTGAATGATAAAAAATTGTGGATTTTTAATGAACAGTTGTGGAAATCAATGGATTTTTAATTAAAATTTTACATGTCATAGTTTTTTCGAGAAAGTCCTGCACATTTTATGAAGCTGGTGATTTTAAATGGCAACAATCATATCAATTGTTCGAATTTGAGAACAAACGAACCTGAAATGACAATGATAACGATTTATTCGGATAAATGGAGTCGTTAATTCAAGTATTTCCATGATAAATCCTTTCATCGTACGAATCTCTCGAATTTCAAACAAAAACCCCTTTTTATCGTTCGCTCTGTACAATACGGTACATATTAAAAACAACAGAGAATGTATGTTAAACAGATGATGTATTTTTTTTTCTTTTTTCTTGGCAAACTTAAAAAAAAAAACAAAAAAAAACAAATTGAAGACTGACAATTATACAGACAAAAGAAAAATAAAACGTGCAGAACTATGAATTAAATTGTAATATGATTAAAAGGAAAGCAAGTAATTGATGATTTGTAAATAATATTTAATTGCACACCTGAATGGAAGAAATGGCAAACGCGACTTAATTCTAACAATGCTCTTAGAGACTTTTGAGAGATATTAAAAAATATATATGATTGAAGTTCTGTCGTTCCTAATAAATTGCCGACATTTTGCCAGTGTAGAATATTCTATCTTATTCCTCAATCTAATTTTAATATTTGTTTGATTAATAGTTCTACGTCACAGGCGACTGCAAATTGGTACGTATTTTTAATCATTCTCTCTGAGATTGACGGAATAATTAAATAATAATTAAACTAATTAATAAACTGGCGTGACTCTAACCTCAAATCAGGTTTAACTATCCAAGATTCATTTACTCACTGAATAATTGATTGTAGATCTTTTATTTTTATTTTTAAACCTGATATCATCCACAATTAATTATTATTTATTTATGTTTGATATCCGTATATATTGAAATATATCATGGATATATTATTTATTTGTGAGATGCATTATGTCATGAACAAATCTCGTTTTTTTCAGAGATAATTGAAATGATACGTTATCATCTCTAAAAAAAACTAGTCTATCAAATTTAATAAACATAAATTAATTCTCTCATAGAAAAAAATTTAAGATATTGATAAAATTAATTAATCCACAGGTGAACAGAAATTAGACTTTTGAATCGCCCGCCAACTGGTCCCGCTCTCTCCCGGTCATCCGATTCTGGCCACTAAAATGGCGGTGACTTGGAATTCTGCGCATGCGCAGATGAGTGGTCTTAAATCCCGCTAAAATTTTGAAAACAAATTTCTAAACAAGACGCGACAAGTGGTAAATGTTATATTATTGTGAATAATTGTTAGATTATTGTTGTTTTCGGGGAAGTGTGTGTGCAATGAGACAAAAGGAAAGTGCTGAAGCAATGGTAAGTAGTTTAATTAATTTATTGAGATCAGAATAAAAAACTGACATTTCCTCCCCTATAAGTTCTCCGGAAAATTCGGATTTTTAATTCTAATTTGACTTTCGAATCGCCCGCCAACTGGTCCCGCTCTCTCCCGGTCATCGGATTCCGGCCACTAAAATGGCGGCGACTTGGAATCCCGCGCATGCGCAGAGGAGTGTTCTTAAAATCCCGCTAAAATTTCACAGTTTTCGGTGAAAACGAGACGCGACAAGTGCCAAATGTTATATTATTGTGAATAATTTTTGGATTATTGTTGTTTTTCGAGGAAGTGCTCGTGCAATGGGAGAAAAAGATAGTGCTCAGATAATCGTAAGTCCTTGAATCAATGTATTGAGATCAGAATGACAAACTGACATTATCCTAACCTATAAGTCACCGGAAACATTCTGATTTTTCATTTCTATTCGGGGAATAAAAATTTAAAAAATATTTTGTGGATTTTTTTTGTTTGTAATTAGGGAATTCCTGATGTGCTGTGTAGTAAAGCGGGGATTGCTGCATCTTGGCGAACAGGAAATCAATTGGGAGTTTTTCCACATAAACAAATCAACGCACACACCAATGGTAAGTATTTTTAATAATCACACTAATCACACTAATAATGACATTAATTAAAATTCGCCGAAAAAAATTTGAAATATAATTTTTTTGGTAAATGAGTAAAAAAAAATGTCAATTAGTGTTTTCTGCAGAATAATTTGAGGTTTAGCTTGACATTTTATTTTGTACAATTCAGACAGGAAGAGTGATTATTATCCCTGCGAAGCTCGAATCCATCTTCTTCGCCAGGAAGTCATCCTGTTCCACCCCACCCTCAGGAAACTAGTGAACGAGAGCAATGGAGTATTCGTCTCGATAAGAAACATAAAGAAGACAAAAGCGAACGAAGCGAGACCGGAATTAGTGAAGTACAGTAAACATTATCGATCAATCCTTCGAGCATGTGTGGAGAGCCTCCAGGACACAGCTGCCAAGACGATGTCAGACACGAAGGATCTCCTGGAGAATTTTCTGACAATCTTCTACAATGTCGAATGCGTTTGGCATTTAACCGAGATATTATACATCGATACAATTCCAGGGGATGTCGTCCTTCCCCAGCTGATGGAGTGGGTTCGTTTCCACTTTCCCTCCCGCGAGCTGACAGCCGCGAAGATCCTCTCCAAGAAGACAATCGGTGCTGAATTGGAGTGTCAAAATTACTGGGAAACAGTATTCGCCTGTGCACTTCACGGTAAATTGGACATAGTACGTGCCCTCCTGCTGTACCACAGCTCAGCAGATAATCGAGGATTCGTAGCAGCTGAAAATATCCTCCGGGCAATACCCGTCTACAACGTCTACGGCGGCTACTCCATAAACGAATTTACGATGCGCTGGAAGTACTGGCAGTTAGATCTCACCTCCAACATCGAGTGCAAGACATTCGCGGTTGACGATAATTTAAATAAACTGATGAGACTCGTCGTGGGTGATGAGAGCGTCCTCTGGGAGTTGAGTAAATACACTGACGCCTGGTACGAGCTCTTGGCAGCTAAATTATTCTACTCATCACCGTGTTGCAAGCAACCAGAATTAGCTAGACACGCTAATAACATTGCGGAGAAGTGGCAAGCTAGGAGAAATCTTGATAATATTATTCTCGCACTCATGGAGAGCGATCTTCACCAGGTGATCAAGCAAATACAGTATATGAATGACAACGGATGGTTTGCAGCTCATCTCACTGATCTTCTGTACAACAGCGAGAAGCTCAATATCATTGACAAAGATCAGTCAAATGTCACTGATAAACTTCACGAGTCTCTCATTCTGGATTATGGCAGCACTCTGATGGAGAACTCGTCGTTGTGGCAGTGTGGGGCCAGTTATCTGGAGAATTGTCCCACTCAGGGGCTAGCGAGACTGGAGACACTTCTCCAGAGCATTCCTTTGGGTAATGAGGCAAAGGTACTCAAGATTATTAATGTGGCGCAGAGCAATGGACTGGTGAATGTCGTCACCAGTATATCGAAGATCCAGGGAATGAAGTCTATCAGGCAGGGGAGACTGGGGAATGCTCTCGCTTGGGCACTTAAGGCTCAGGATGGACCTTTTGCAACGTACATTGCTGATCAATTTCTCAAGGCTTATGCTGCCAATGGAGAGCTCGAGTGCAGGGATCTACTGGAAAATTTGGGGAGGTACATGCTTACTAGTGACAGACTTACTTTTCTCGGGAAATACTGCGAGTTTCATCAGATGTACGAGATCGGAGAGTTCCAGGAAGCTGCGAGGCTACTCATGTCACTAATTATCTCCAATTTGACGCCTAAGTAGTGAGTATTATATATTTATCATTTATTTGTTGTTACCTTGGGATTAATTCAGTCTGAGGGAGTTTTTATGTCATTTGTTGTACGATGTTGAATAATTGTATGGCATTTCGTACAATAAATGAAATTGAGACTCTGTCAATAAAAACTCCTCGACATTTATCCGGGCAACATTTTTTTCAGTTCTCACTTGAATTTTAATTATCCATATCCAGTTCTATGTATATAAAAATAAAATCATATTTAATCGAATGTTAATGTTAATGTCTTTTATTTCAACAGTTTCTGGCCGATTCTTCTGTCCGATGCAATACCTCTTCTGGAATCCGAAGACGTAATACTCTCCAGTGAAGATACATTCACGCTGATGAGGTGTTTAGAGGAGCACGGAGATGACCTGGAATTTCAGGATAAAGTGGAAATAACAAGATTGGCGGCTGCGAGGAACTTGTCCCGAGCCCTTATCCTCGAGGATTGCCAAAATGATTAATAAATTATGTTTTTTTATATTCATAATGTGATTGTAAAATAAAATATTCTCATTTTTTATGTATAATTTGCTAAAAATAAACAAATTTCCAGAATAATCACTGCCTTATTATTTATTATCATATCATTTTAAAAAATCACAATAATAACAATAACAATAACAATAACAATAATAACAACAACAACAACAATAATAATAATAATAATAATAATAATAATAATAATAATAATAATAATAATAATAATAATAATAATAATAATAATAATAA